AATTGTGGGAATTGAAGTTCACAAGTCTTAAACTTGTCAAGTTTGAAAACCCTTGTTCTAAATAACCTTCTGTCCTTTAAAACAAGCTCTAGATTAGGGTTTCTCAACCTTGGTGATTTTTAAGAATGTGGACTTCAACTCCCAGAATTCTTAGCAATCAATAGCCATGCTGGCTGGGGAATTCTGGGAGTTGAAATCCACATTCTTAAAAGTTAGCGAGGTTGAGAAACACTACTCTTTGGTTATGTTAGATAGACTCAAGTATCTATTGTGTTAACAATTAACAAGTACTCTTGTAAAATGCTGTTCTTCATCCAAGCACACGCATTATGACTTTTGTCACAGTTTGCGGGCTAGGATGTGTAATTGACTGGAAGCTGTCAGAGGTGGGGCTGCCTTCAAAAGTGTTCTGGAAAGTTTAGATAATTCTAAGGCAAACTTAGTTAACTAGACTTGGGGTCGTTCACCAGTCCTGAAACAGCTGTATAACTTCCTTGCCCTGTCTTGGAGATGAATCCAAAAGTCAGTCGTGAACTTCAGAGCTCTGTAAAGCTTGGAATTGGTATATATGTCCCTTTTCATATTGAGCAATCCAAAATCCACTTCCAAGCATCTCCATCATCTGAGAAGACTTTGGCAACTAAGGGAAACACGAGCATGGCTGAGAAATTCTGGGAGTTGAAATCCAAAAATCTTAAAAGTTGCCAAGTTTGGCGACCGCTGCAATAGAAGTTTAGCAGCAATGGACAAACTCTGATCCACAGAAGGTTTTGTTTGCTTGTTTTTTTTTTGTTTTTGAAAATGAGTTATTTCAGCTCTGAGGATTCCAGGGACAAGGCCTAAGTAGCAGAATGCAAAGGTTGCCAGGTTTGGGATCTATAAGGAGATTCTCTGGATTAGGTGCCTTTCAGGTGTGTTGGACTTTGTGACTTCCATCTGTTGACCTTCATTTCCAGTTCATGTAGAAACTATGGGAGTGGGCCTAGTGTTGAGGTAATTCCCCGTTAGGAGAATGAGCGCATACAGGGAGACGTAGTGAGAGTGGTGAAGAATAATACACAAACAGCACACAGATACACTGTACAGTAAATGTAGGTTTTTTACTTCCAATAAACGTTTAAGCACAGTCCAAGATAAACAGTCCAAGTCATTCACGGTTAAATCAGTCAGTTTTCAGTCCAGGGATAATCCAGTAACAAAGTCCAGTATCAGAAACAGTTTAGTAACAGACTTACATCAAATCCAAGAATAACAATTAATAGGGAAAAATGGAGGAAAGGCAACTCTCTCCAACAGAAGAAACAGAGACTCACTGCGACTTTCCTGAGACTAAACAACCCAGGTTTCTGGCTCCCTTATGGCTGTTTGAGAAACCACACCCAATTACAATTTTAGCATTCCCTTAAAGATACGGTATTAAAATGTCTATCCTAGTTTATATATTTCCAACCCAAATAACTGTTAGGTGACTTACATTCCTAACACCTAGCACATCTGGAGAGCACCAGGTTAAGGTAGGTGCTGTGTGAATATCCATAGAAACAAGCAGCTTTGGTTACACCAGGATTTTCCAATCTTGTCCACTTCCAGATGTGTGGACAGATGTGTGTGACATTCCAGGGGATGGAATCCATATATTTGGAAGTTGCCAAAATCCCTGGGTTGGAGGAAGCTCAGTGACCAGTGTAGTTGGCATCAGCAGCTTTATTACCTTCAGTAGATTCCTCAAGAATTCTTCATTCATAAGAACTCTTTGATGTTTCCAGCATGGATCTTTTCTAATCTAATTGGTGATATTGGGAATGGATGTGAGATTTTCTCCATGCAGAATTGGTGTTCTATCATCAAGTCAGAGTTATTCCCTATTCTTTGGTGCTGAGTCCAAAGTTGTGTTGATTTTAAGGAATCTGCATTGCAAGCTTGGCTGCAGATTTAAGCACTGGGGAAAAAATCAGGTAGTTCATTGAATAGGATCAGGGGTGGGATTCATTATTTTTAACAACTGGTTCTGTGGGTGTGGCTTAGTTGGTGGGCGTGGCTTGGTGGTACTGTGACTGGCTGGGTGTGGTCAAATCAACATCACTCACATCGAGGCACGCATCTCCTCGCTTGGCCTCTCATGACTGTGGGGATGCTGCAACAGTCGTAAGTGTGAAAAAGGGTCACTTTTTTCAGTGCCATTGTAACTTTGAATGGTCACTCCACACAAGCAAGTACCAGCAAAGGAGGGGGGAAAAACTCCAGAGAAGTTCCTGAGACAGGAAGTCTAGTCCTGCCAAGAATATAATAAGGGTTAACGGAGAGGCAGTTTCTGTAAGCAACACCAGAATGTTTCCTTCCTGCCTTCCTTACAGGATTAGGCCGGTAATTTCTTCTAACAACCGGTTCTCAGAACTGCTTAGAATGTTAACAACCTGTTGTAGCGAATAGGTGCGAACTGGTAGAATCCCACCCCTGAATAGGATCCTAGGTCTGAAGCAATTTAATTTGAAGGAGGGGAGATTAATTGTGAAGGGGTGTAGCGTATTTTAATTCTGGGTGGGGATGAAAAAACTTTTAGTTCTGAAATGAAGTATTGGCCATCTCCCACTATCCAGCAACATCTGGAGGGTTTCACATTATCCCACCTTAATGCAAGCAGGATGTTTCACAACAGGGGAAACGGAAAGGCCAGATATGAAATAAGATATGAAACAAGAGCAACAAAGATGATTAGGGGACTGGAGGCTAAAACATATAAAGAACTGTTGCAGGAACTGGGTATGGCTAGTCTAGTGAAGAGAAGGACTAGGGGTGACATGATATCAGTCTTCCAATATCTCAGGGGCTGCCACAAAGAAGAGGGAGTCAAGCTATTCTCCAAAGCACCTGAGGGCAGGACAAGAAGCAATGGGTGGAAACTAACCAAGGAGAGAAGCAACCTAGAACTAAGGAGACATTTCCTGACAATCAGAACAATTAATCCATGGAACAACTTGCCTTCAAACGTTACAGGTGCTCCATCACTGGTGATTTTAAAGAGATTTGTCCAGTGGTGGGATTCAAATTTCTTTTACTACCGGTTCTGTGGGCTTGGCTTGGTGGGCATGGTGTGGCTTGGTGGGCGTGGCAGGGGAAGGATATACTGCAAAATCCCCATTCCCTCCCCACCCCACTAACCTGCTTTCCAGCTCCGTTCTCCTGTGCAGAGCAAGCAAAGAAGACCCAGCTGATCAGCTGGGACTCGGGAGGCAGAGAAGAGATGAGTCCGGGGCCAGTCAGAGGTGGTATTTGCCAGTTCTCCGAACTACTCAAAATTTCTGCTACTGGTTCTCCAGAACTGGTCAGAATCTGCTGAATACCACTTCTGGGTTTGTCTGAAATGATTTATGGCAACTTTAAGACTTGTGGACTTCAACTCCCAGAATTCCTGAGCTAACATGACTGGAGGAGGAATTCTGGGAGTTGAAGTCCACAAGTTTTAAAGCTGTCAAGTTTGAACACCCCTGATATAAGGTCTCCTGCTTGAGCAGAGGGTTGGACTAGAAGACCTCCAGGGTCCCTTCCAGCCCTACTATCCTGAAACCCCAGTTTTCTGTTCTTTTCCAGACTCTCTAGAGCAAGATGTTCTTTACCTGTGGCCCCAATGAAGCCATGGTTGTCTCGGGTAAGCGCTCCATTTCCTGTTCCGTTTTCTGAGCTTTCTTATCTGATAAGATCAGCCTTCAGGGCAGCCACAAAATGTATGCAGCCTTTGTCTAAGCTAGCCGTGTTTTCTTTCAGATTGCTCTGTTCAAGCATGCATGGATCACTTTGCACGTTCAACCATCTTTCAGCTGTTCAGATGCAGTTCGCTCTTTAGGATTTCATTTGGAGACACCATTTTCTCCTCTTTCTTTTTAACTACTCAGTGCTTTTATTTTCACAAAGTGGATTTCCTCCAGCAAGGGCTGTTCCCCTGACTGTGCTGGCTTCCCATTTTCCAATCATCACGTTTTGGCTGTACAATCATTAGAGCACAGACTCAAACTTGTTGTTAATACAGCTGTGCAGCATAGGGCAGCTGTACAGTCCTGGGAAAAGACACAGCTGCTTTAAAGAATTATTGACGGGTGTTAACAGTCATGACCTACGCTTTTTAAAACAGATTTTTGGAACAGAAGCCAAAGTGTTTCACAGTCCTTTGGAATCGTTTATGAAGGGGATCTATAGTAGCGGCCAAAATTGTGGAAACCTTTTGGGAAAGGTGTATTTTTGAGGTTTGATGACTAATAGCACCACTTTTTTTAAAGTAGTACCATAAAATTATATATCTATGGAATGATCATTTAATCAAGAACGTAATGCAATGAAGTTTGTTCAATTATCTGTATTCTATGAAAAGATATAGCCAAATAACAAGAAAAAGGAAGCACAACTTGCTTAGGTTGATATCAGGTAACTTTCCTTCATCTGATTGTAGCCAATGAGCATGTGTTTAGAGAGACAATCAGGTGTTTAGAGAGCCAATCAGATTCAGTTTTTGATGTCATGTGTTAAAGCTCAGAGGAGGACATTTGTCAGTGTGTTATGTGATCGCTATCTCATTGGTTGGGGTTTTTTTGTATTCTTTTATTTAGTAAGCTTGTAAAACACACTAAAATTACAGTAATGGTGCAAAGAGTTGACTGTTGCCCAGAAAGTGATGTAAAATAGTATTAAGTGAACAAGGCTACAGTTATAAAGAAATCAGAAGAAAAATTAGTGGAAACTTAACCAAAGGTGGCATTTCTAAGTTTTTGAAGAGGTATAAGGGGACTCAGTCACTACAAAACCACGCTGGTAAAGGCAGGAAAAGGTGCACAACAGCAAGTGATGATAGAAGAATTAATTAATTAAGACTGTGCCTACGTTACAGAAGAAAATCATCTGGGTGTATACAAGATGAAATGGTGCAATGCAATGTGAAGTTGATTACAAGGACTGTTCGGCGCGGACTGCAGGAATTTGGCCTAAAATCTAGAATTCCACAAAAAAAGCCATTTTTATATCTTTCAAACAAAGGTTGAAAAGACTGAACTGGGCTAAAACCCACGTTTCCCAGACAGCGGAACAATGGGACAGTGTTATTTGGAATGATGAGACCAAAATCTCCCTGTTTGGTAGTGGTGGCAATAAAATACACAAGGAGACATTTTTCCCAAAAGTTTCCACAATTTTGGCCACTAATGTATAACAAAATCATGCCCTATTGGATAATCTTGGTCAGCAATTCCCATGTTTTTTTTTTAGAATACAAGGCTTGACTTAACGATCACACAAAAAGGACCAAAACTCTAATTGCTGAGCGAGGTTGTTCTTATGTGAGCCTAATTTTTAATGACCTTTTTTTGCCGCAGTTATTAAACCAATCACTGCAGTTGTTAAGTGAATCACACGGTCATTAAGCAAATCGGGCCTCCCTCATTGACTTTGCTTGCTGGTCGCTGCTTGGGAAGGTCACCAAGAGTGATCACATGACTCTGGGAGGCTGCAACCATCGTAATTATATGCCGCTTTGCAGAGTGCCTGAATTTTGATCAGGTGCCCATGAGGATGCTGCAACGGTCGTAACTGTGAGGAACAGCCATAGATCACTTTTTCTCAGTGCCATTACAACTTTGAATAGTCACTAAACAAATAGTTGTAAGTCGAGGGCTATTTGTATTACATTCTGTTTCCTCTTCCTTTAATTCAAGGGTCTCCAAACTTGGGAACTTTTCAGATTTATGGACGTCAAAACTCTCAGAATTCCCCAGCCAGCATGGAATTCTGGGAGTTGAAGTCCATAAGTCTGAAAAGTTCCCAAGTTTGGAGATCCCTGAATTAATTGGCCATTTTTCTTCATTTTCCCAAAGAAGCGATCAGCTTCTGTGCCTGCTGAACAATTTTCTGTAGAGGACTTTTTGCTTTTTATTATCAGTTATCAAAAAAACCCCCAAATGAACAGTTGACCGAGGGATCTAATTGACTGGATCGATCAAGGGATCTGGTTATGCTTCCTAGCTCCCCTTAGGTCATAATATCTGGGGGAAGGAATCAGGAGCGTGTCTACCCTATCTGATCTGGTAAGACAAGTAGATATCCTTAAGGAAACACATGGTTTTTTTAGCTTTGGTAAGTTGCTAAGTATAGACTGTATGTAAAGAATTCAAGTGGGATCTGCATCATTGGAAGCTTTCAAGAAGAGATTGGACTGCCATCTGTCAGAAATGGTGTGGGGTCTCCTGCTTGGGCAGGGGGTTGGACTAGATGACCTACAAGGTCGCTTCCAACTCTGTTAATCTGTTAAATTAGCCTGGGCAGATTCTGCACTGTTTATCTCTTTCCCCAGGTTTCTGCCGCAGCCCCCCAGTTATGATTGCTGGTGGCCGGGTGTTTGTGGTACCGTGCATACAACAGATTCAGAGGTAAATCGTGCTGTGAAAGGCTCTATTTACGGGTTCTCAGGATCTCACCAAGGCTTGGTCACTCTCTTAATTAAGCAAGCCCATTGCTTACAATGTAGCCCATTGGTTACATTTCAGTTGCCCATCCAAATACTAATAGGGCTGGCCCTGCTTAGCTTCCGAGATTAGCCAGGGTTGGCAGGATGCCGAGCCATTCAACCACATTGCATCCTTCAGACATTAACCTTAATTGAGTTTAAAATGGAGTGGAGGAGTGCTCTGTTTGCCCTCATTGAATTCACCGATAGAAAGACAGGGTGACATTTTTGTTAGAGCTGAAATTAATGGGTGTGTGTTGTGTGTGCATTCATCCTTTCCTTCCTGCTCTTACAGGATCTCACTTAACACTCTGACCTTAAATGTGAAGAGTGAGAAAGTTTATACCCGGCATGGGGTCCCCATTTCAGTCACTGGCATTGCACAGGTAATTTTTTTCTTTCCAGCAATACACCCAAGGAATTCAGTGGTGGGATTCAAAAAAATTTACTACCGGTTCTGTGGGTGTGGCTTGGTGGGCGTGGCGAGGGAAGTGTCAGCGTTCCAGAAAACCACCTCCAACCAATAACTCTGAGACAGACATCTTCTCAAAAATTCTTTTTATTCTGGATAGTAAACTGGCACAACTGGGGAATCCCGAATCTGAAAGTTCCGGGCTTCATAACAATAAGTAAAACCTACAAGTCCATCCTCTGCGCCCATCATCACATCACATGCCCCAATAATCCTCCATCCCAACTTGAGACTTCCCCTCACTTATGCGCAAAATAACATGACCTTGAATTAGAAAAAAGAATGTTGTTATGTCTAACTACGTACATTCCAAGAAATTCCCCCTTCCCATTTTCCCAGGTCTCAAAGTGTGGCAGCATCAGGGTCTCAATATGGCTTCCAAAGCTGACAGGAAGGCTACTGCAAAATCCCCATTCCCTCCCCACCCCACTAACCTGCTTTCCAGCTCCGTTCTCCTGTTATTTCCCTTGATTTGATTTGATGGAACTCTCTTTTGGGATGAAGAGGACAATCACCAGCTGGTTAGAAGAGAAACAGGCTGACAAACTCCATGTCAAGGGTGAGATATAATCAAGGTCCGTTTCCCTTCTTTTCTTCCACCATCTTTTCCCACCTAGGTGAAGATCCAGGGCCAGAACAAGGAGATGCTGGCAGCTGCTTGCCAAATGTTCCTGGGCAAATCTGAAGCAGAAGTTGCGCACATTGCTCTGGAGACCCTGGAAGGACATCAGAGAGCCATCATGGCCCATATGACAGTAGAGGTAAGTAGAGGTCGCTTTATTTTATTAGTTTGTCAAACTTGTACAAGATAACAAGTACAGGTATGAACATAAACAGGAACAAAGGAAGTAAATACAGATGAATGGGGACAGTAAGACAGGGACGGCAGGCACCCTGGTCTATGCATGTCCCCTTTGAGGACCTCTTAGGAATGGGGTGAGGTCAGCAGACAGTTTGAGGTTGAATCTGTGAGGGGTTGAGGCTGTAACAAGGGAGTCAGGTAGTGAGTTCCAGGCGTTGACCACTCTGTTGCTGAAGTCATATTTTCTGCAATCGAGTTTGGAGCGGCGTACTTTGTGTTTGTATCTGTTGTGTGCTTGTGGGAGTATAAGTATGTGTGCAAGATGTCACCACTGGTTGAAGAATGGGGTGAAGCGAGGTGAAAGCAAATCAAGGAGAGACGCAATCTAGAGCTAAGGAGAAATTTCTTGAAAGTGAAAACAATTACCGGTAATCAGTGGGATGACTTGCCTCCGGAAGTTGTGGATGCTCTATCTACTGAAGATTGTTTTCAAGAAGAGATTGGACAGCCATTTGCCTGAAATGATATAAGGCCGTGATGGTGAACCTATGCCACCTGTGCCGGGAGTGGCATGCAGAGCCGTCTCTCCGGGCACGCCAGCCATCGCCCATTGCTCTTCTGGGTTCTGATGCATGCCAGCCAGCTGGTCTTCGCGTGCACAGGAGCACCGGAAACTGGAAGAGCAGCTCCCTGGAGCACATGCGCGCACGCTGGCAGCTGGTCTTTGCACTCACATGCATGCGCGCCGGGAAGCTAAGCTTCCAGTTTTCGGCGCTCTCACGAAAATGCATCAGGGAGCTGCTTTTCCGGTTTCTGGCACATGTGCATGCTCCCATTTCAGCACTTGGTGTTGAAAAGGTTAGCCACCCACTGACACAGGGTTTCCTGCCTGAACAGGAGGGTGTGGGCTAGAATATCTCCAATTCTGTTATTCTTAAAAGATGTTTTCTCTCCAGTTGTGTACGCTCGGCTGTTACTTTAATCTATCCAATTGAATTGAATCGGGGGTATCCAAAGGAGCGGGGTCAAAAAGGTTGCGGTAACCACAACCATAACCTCACACCTTTTTCACAAGACACATTGACGAGGGATGGCCTTTCAATGGTGTGGTTGTGAACATAGGCTTGTCTCTTTTAATCCGCTCCCTGCAGACAACAACCCTGCACTGAATTATGGTTTGCATTAGCCATGGGACAGTGGGGACCTTGGACTCCAACCCCTGTGGAGAGGACTGAGTGAAGAAAGACTGTTTTGAGAGTTCACAAACAAAGACGCTACCCTAGGCTATAGGATAAAAAGAAGAGTTGGTTTATTTGTTTGTTTATTTATTTAATATATATTGCTGCCTGTTCGCCCATAGCGACTCGAAATGCCTTATACCAGGGGTGTCCAACCTTGGCAACTTTAAGCCTGGAGGACTTCAACTCCCAGAATTCTTCCCCAGCTTTGCTGGCTGGGGAATTCTGGGAGTTGAAGTCCTCCAGGCTTAAAGTTCCCAAGGTTGGACACCCCTGCCTTACACAATACAAAACCAAATTTAAAAATAAAAATAAAAAACAATAAAAACTAACAAAAATAATCAAATAAATTAATAAAGTACAATAGAACAAAATCTGGAAAAAAATAAAAAAAATAACCCCCCGCCCCGCTGACAGCAGATCACACTAGCCATTTGATGGGCTCCATCTGTCTCCGGGATCCCCAGGCCCGCTGGCAAAACCAGGTCTTCAGTGCCTTCCGGAAGAGTGCTAGAGTGGAGCCATTCTAATCTCTGGGGAGATGATGTTCCAGAGAGAGGGGCCCACCACGGAGAAGGGCCTTCTTCTGGGTCCCACCAGGAATGCTGCTTCTATCATCATTTTTTAATGACCTTATAATCCCTTGCGGGGTGGAGTCTCGGCAACTGAATGGAGCTGAGTGTTTACTGGCCGGATACCCTTCCTGTCGCCAGTGCGGAGTTTTTTTTTCAGCAGATACATTCTCACTTTGCCCAAAGAGAGAATGATCTGCCTCTGCCTAGGCTCAAACTCACAAGCCTCCTGATTGTGAGGCAAGAGCTCTACCTCAAGGCCACCACACCACTCTAACTGATGCTGCTTCTAGATGGGCTTAAAAACTGGTGAGCCGAATCTCTGCTTGGTACTAACATAGTTAACCTCTCTTTGTTAAACAGGAAATCTACAAGGACCGTCAGAAGTTTTCAGAGCAGGTCTTCAAAGTGGCCTCGTCTGACCTGGTCAACATGGGGATCAGTGTGGTCAGTTATACCCTCAAGGATATTCACGATGATCAGGTGCACATATGGGCTGTTTGGTATTGATGCAAACCATTGTTCATGTCACTGAGAATGTTCAGTCGTAGAGATACCTTAACCAAGGATGTCTGATGTGGTTCTGACCCACGCCCTTTTCCAACAAATCAAATACAATGCCAAGGGAACAGAAACCTTTTAATGCTTCTGCAAAATGATTAGCTGTGATAAGCACAAGCCTTGCCAAACTGTGCGAGTCTGCCAAAAGATAACAGACAAGAAATAATTTGCAATACAAGAATCTTCAAATACAAACTCAGGATACTGGAATGTCCACGAGGCTGGAGTTTCAAAATGTCTTTGCCTTCTGCAAAGAACGTTGGCTTCACAGCTGGCTTTTATCTTCTTGAAGGAGGGGCCATTATCTTGCAGCCTTACACCCGAGTCGCCCGTGCTGTTGTAGCTGCTGCTTCCTGCAAGCAATCCTACGTGCACGCACACTTGGCACAGGCTCCTTGGGAACCTCTTCATCATTGCTGCCAGCCCCCACAATTTCTGAAGGCAGCAGTTCACTCCCTAATGGTCCTGGCCCCTCATCTGAGTCCTCGCTCTCCTCAGCCATCCGCACCTGCTGCCGGCTAACCACAACAGATTTACAATCTTTCAGCAATAGACATAGAAAACCAGCATCAACCTATCCCAACGCCAAATAGAATTGCTTGATTTGTTTTTGTTTTTGTTTTCTTGTTAATGGAAAAATGATACAAGGTTCTTTCTGATACTGACAACCAAGTTTTGGACTGAACGCATTTATTGACAGGTTGGATTATATTAAATATAGAAATAATTATATTAAGTTTGACCAGAACTCTATGGTTGTAGGCTATAGTAACAAAATCTTGAAAGTGTTTCCTATAGTGAATTAAGGTGGAGCCCAAATGAGTTGTTTTCTCAGTTTCCTGAGCTTAACACGTATTTTGTTGTTGCAACCATCATTTCCACATTGTTTCTCCAAGGACATCTTAATTCATAGCGTACACATTAATCTCTTCCTATTTTTTTCTCCACAACAACCTTGTGAGCTAGTTTGGGCTGAGAGAGAACGATTAGTTCAAAGTGCTTCAGGGGGAGGATTGGAACCTGGGTTTCCTCACTTGGGACAGGATTAGAGCCCGTCTATTCTGCAACTGTTCAGTAACCCAAGGGGTAAAAAAAAATCAGAATTCAGACGTTACCAGATATTGTTTGCAAAATGGGTGTTTTCTGGGGATTCTGGATTGCTTTTCCTGTCCATCATCTCCCCGTCTTATCAATTGTAGGATTATCTTCATTCTCTGGGAAAAGCCCGAACTGCTCAGGTACAGAAGGATGCCAGGATTGGAGAAGCTGAAGCCAAGAGAGATGCTGGCATCAAGGTGGGCAATTGTGGAAGGAAAGTTGTGATGGACTTTGTCTGTCTACCTTGTTTTAGAGATTGCTGGAGGTTTTTAAGGAAAGATTGGACAGCCATTTCTCTGGCATGGAATAAGGTCTCTTGCCTTGGGCAGGGGGTTGGACTAGAGGGCCTCCAAAGTCCCTTCATGCCCTATGATTCTTAGCAAGTTCAGATCTGGATACCATATTTCCCCCAAAATAAAACCCTACATTTTTTGCCACCAAAAAAGGCACCAGGTCTTATTTTGGGGGGATGCCATCCACTGACTGACCTCACTTGTGCGCGTCGCCCCCGGCCTCCTTTTCGCTGTCAGAGGCCTTCAGGAACTTCTTCTTCTGTGGCCAGCAAGGCTTTCCTGAAAGCCTCTGCAGCCGATAACAGATCTCCGGATCGATCCAGAGCTTTGTTAGCAGCTACAGAGGCCTTTATGAAAGCTTGGTCAGCCTTGATGGCTGCAGAAGAAATGGGCCAGCAAGGCAGGTGTCAGGATGTGTGAGGCCTGGCTACAACTATTCAAGGGTAAGTAGTAGGGCAGCTCCACCCGCCTCATCCCCATCCTAGCTTAATTTTTACCTGTGCACTCTGGAGTGGGTGGGATCTTAATTAGGGCTTATTTTGGAGGGTAGGGCTTACATTGGGCGCATGTGTAAAAAATCAAGCTAGGACTTACTTTCAGGGTAGGTTGTATTTTCAGGGAAATGGTATTAATTGGATGGGAGACGACTTGGAAAATCCAAAGCTGTAGAAAGGAAGGCCGTGACTGCCAAATGATTTCCCAATAGTATCAAATAGACTTCCCCATAAACTCACCAGGAATCCAACAAAAACTTGAGACTCTTTTTTTTTAAATCAAAACTTCTTCAGTGCTCTTGGCTTTTGCACTGTCCCTGAGCTCTTGCCTCACTCTTCCTGTCGGGCGCTGCCTCTGAGTTCTCCCATCTTGTCCACCTCTAGGAAGCCACAGCCAAGCAACAGAAATTGTCTGCTCAGTTTATGAACGATATTGAGATGGCCAAAGCTCACCGAGATTTCGAGCTGAAGAAGGCTGCTTACGACATTGAGGTGAACACGCGAAAAGCCGAATCGGACTTGGCCTATCAGCTGCAGGTGAGCCACCCCACCGCACAGACAGTCAAAAGGGGATTGGCAGGTGGCGGAGATGGAATAAGTTGTAGTTTATTTTTTTTCCTCAAATGAAACATGCATAGGAAAGTGTTTGTGATTCCTGCCCCTCGGCCTAGTCACATCCTTCATTTAGGGCAGGGCTGTCCAACCTTGACAACTTTAAGATCTGTGGACTTCAAATCCCAGAGTTCCCCAGCCAGCCAGGGGGCAGTCCACAAGCCTTAAAGTTGCCAAGGTTGGACAGCCCTGAGCTAGAGCATAAATTTTATGGGATGTTGACATATTGAGCTATGAACAAGCTGTTGTGGCCTGCCGGGGCTGGTGGAGCTGGCAGCAGAGTTGGACAGTAGTGAGGAGATTGGGAGGAACCTGGGCCAGTCTTGGAGGCTGAGGAAGGCTCGGATGAGGGATCTGCATCAGAGGTAGAGATGGGGCCAGGGCAGGCTGGCAGTCATCAGCTGCTTTCGGGCTCAGATAGCAGTGAGGCTGGGGAGCAGTTGGAACCGTTTCCCAGCCTGCGTATGTGCACAGCTGTTAAAAGAAAGGAGCAATTAAGAACTCAGAATCAACATGGGAGCAAGGCCACTGGTGGCCGACGAATGGCCCTTCCCACCAGAATTAAAAGAGGAACAAAAGAGGAGGGGGCTTTTGAAGGAAACAACTTGCTCGTTGCATGTTTGTGTTTGTTCCAGCCTTGTGGGTCTGTAAAAGTCTGTAAATCCAGCCTTCCCTGCAACAGTGAGTATGGAACTGTTTACCAGGCAGCACTGCAGGATTGATAACAGTCTGAGATAATTAGTTCACCTTCGGGAGAATGTGTGCCAAGCTGTTGGCTGACTGTGAATGAACCAATTCACATTATCGTAAATAAAGAGGTTTTTGCCGGGACTCAGAATTGACTGAGTGCTGGTCTTCTGGTTTGAAGGGCTTCAACGACAGAAATCCGCGATCGTGCGCAGTTTCTGCCTGGGCTCGCCGCTGGAGCGCCCCAAGCCGGCTGGTTTCGGGGTAAGCCACCCCGTAGAGGTGGTGAAGAGGGGGGAGACCGCCAGCAGGGTTGAGGAGAGCCGCATCTCTCCTCCTCAGCTGGCCATTACTCCCTTTCCCGAAGGCGGTTGCAGGAGTGGTCAGAAATGGCCACCACAAAGAAGAACTCGACCAGAAAAGAATGTGCAGGAGGAAGATAAGAAGTGAAGGTTTTGGCTGACCGGGTTAAATTGTAAAAGCAACAACCAAGGTACCCTGGAATTTAAATTTACAAAAAATAACATCGCTCCCAAAGAAGAGTCGGAAGCAGCGAAGGAAAGTGAAAAGGGAAAGGTTTGGCTTTTTTTTTTCTTCTCTCTCCTTCCCTATACTGAAAACTAAGAGACTTAAATAAGAAATCAGAAAAATCCACTTTGACATCAATAGGCAATTAAGCTGAAAATAAAACAAAATGCCAAAGGGATAATAAAGATTTCTGGACATTAAAATCTTTCTTTTTCATAAGCAGGAAGGGAGAGAAAAAGAATAAGGGCAGGATCTGGAAGAGGGAGGAGACTGCCTGGAATTAAAAAGAATCTAAAGTAAAACTTCAACAAGACTTCTAAAAGATATATTTTAACTGAAACTTTGCAACTAAATAATAACCTCAGGAAGAGAAAGTGAAAAGAAAAGAGCAAAAAAGGAACAGCTTGCGTGTATTTGGATTATTTGGTGATCTTTGGATTTTTGGTTATTATATTTGAATGACTAAAATCAACTGGGTGGTTGTTTAAAAATTTATACAATGGCACCACTTCTGGATGAATTGAAAATGGAACTTAAAAAATACAAAGAAGATGCACAAGAAGGAAAGGGTTCTTTTGGCTTCATCTTTCAATTCTTAGAAATAGAGATTTGGAACTATGAGAAACAACAAGAAAAGACTGCAAAACAAGAAGACTGGGACAAAGAAGAAACCATCTTTAATGAACAAGTAATTCTATGTGGGGAAGAAAAAGGAAAGGGGGGAAAGAGAATGGAGAATTTAAGACTTAAAAAAACAACCAAAGAAAAGAAAAATAATTCGAAAAATAAGTATAATACTGGAAAGCAACAGAAAAGGGGAAGACAGAAGAGAGAAATAGAGGTAGAGAGACAAGGGGTAAAAAGGAGAGAGAAGAAGAGAGGGAAGAAGGAAAGGAAAAAAAGTTACAAAGGACCGGAGCAAGATATAGAGAAACAGGACCTATTTAGAGATAATGGGTGAAAATCTAACTGAAAAAGGGATTCTGTAAAGGTACATAAGATTGTATTGTTATATTAGTAATAGAAATAACTTTAGAAAATTGGAAACAACGTATGATTAAAATGAGAGATAAAATAGTTAGTGTAATTTAGTGAAATGTTTGTGAATAAAATAAGTGAAATAAAATAAATGAGAAAATTGAATTAGGAAGGAACGGGAACATTTTAATTAGTTAATGTTTTATAAAATATAAGTGAAGGGGGGGGATTAATTATGGAAAGCTTATAATTGTTCCGATAGAAGTATGATATTTAATTGAAAAGTAATGTTAAAGATGTTAAGACTTTAATGAATATTAATATTAATGATAGAATTGAATTGGAATGGAATGTTGTTTTAATTATATATATTTATAATTTTTTTCTTTTTTTAAGAATACAGTGTGTATTTTAAGAATGTACCAAGCAGAATCTGAATGGAAGTTATGTATTCTATTGAATGTTACAACTTTAGGGAAAAGATATAAAGGCGTCATACTCCAATCAGTAACTACAGGAGAAATTTTGTTTAATGAGAAAAGATAATAGATAATTGAAACAGGACAGACAAAAAATATAAATACAATGATTTGAATTGAGATGAGATAATTAAAATAAAATTGAGAAAATTAAAAGAGGGGAGAAGCTATGCAGAAAATGTAAAATAGTAATAAGATATGGAACAGAGTATAAAAATGAGCATGAACCTGAATTTGTGTCTGTACGAAGAAATGTAACCCGGGATTATTCTGCTTTCAAAAAAGATGTTTTGTTTGTATTTTTTTTTTCTCTTTGTGAAAACTCAAATAAAATTTACAAAAAAAAAAAAAGAATTGATTGGGTGATTTTTGGGTGAAGCCCAGGACAGAACACAAGCTTCAGCAAGGAGTTTCCGAACCCTTCAGGTTCAGTTGTTCTGAATCCTTCATGCAGGTGGCCAAGACCAAGCAGAAAATTGAAGAGGAGAAGATGCAGGTCTTGGTGGTGGAGCGAACTCAGCAGATTCAGATCCAGGAGCAGGAGATGATCCGTAAAGAACGGGCGCTGGAGGCCCAAGTCAAGAAACCAGCCGAAGCAGAACGTTACCGGTTGGAGAAATTAGCTGAGGCGGAAAGGTACGGACATTACACTCCCCTATTCTCCTCTTTTTTTCCCTTCCTATTCAGAATCTGCTGTTACTCATCATAGCACTTTTCAAAGGAGTGAACTGATGCTGGCTATGCCCCTTTATAGTATAGTAGTCCTTTATAGTATAGTAGTCCTTTATAGTATAGTAGACCACAATTGAGCCCCAAATTTCTATTGCTGAGTGAATTTTGGCCTATTTTATGACCCTTCTTGCCACCGTTGTCAAATGAATCACTACGTTGTTAAGTTAGTCAGACGGTTGTTAAGTGAATCAAGTTTCCCCACTGACTTCGCTCGTCAGAAGATTGCAGAAGCTGATCACATGACACACACACACCCCCAAAAGATCCTGCAGCCATCATAAATAAGAGTCAGTTGCCAAGCATCTGAATTTTGATCAGGGGGATGCTGCAACCAATGTAAGTGTGAAAAATGGTCATAAGTCACTTTTTCCAGTGCTGTCGTAACCGTGAACAGTCCCTAAATGAACTTTTGTAAGTCAAGGACTACCTGGAAAGCTGGAGGGTCAAATAATGGAATGAACCTCCACAAAAATAATACAGATAGTCCTTGAGTTATGACCGTAATGGAACCTGCCTGGTCATTAAGCAAACCAGTGGTTCACAATGGGGTCTGTTTTTGTCAAAAGCCCAAAATAAATTCCGGGGTTGTTTTTCTTTTTGGCAAAGCTGTGGTAAAATGCAGTCAGGCGACCATGGGCTACGATTGGCAGCCCATAAATTTCCCATCCTTTTGTCTCAAAGGTGCTTTTTCAAAAGGTAACTGAACTGTTGTTGTTTTTCTAGAGGAAGACGGTGGATTTTTTGTTTCTGAGGGGGAAAAAAGAGGGGAAAAAACAGTCCAGTTGCCCTTTTGAAAAAGCATCTTTGAGCCCGTTGTAGATGACTGAAAATCTCCACAGATATTCCTTATCCTTTGCTGTTTGATGTAGAAAGGACTTCCCAGCATGGCTTCCACGCATTTTATCCTTTTTTAAATTTCCTGCAACTAACTCTCCAGTTGCAAACCAGGGGTGGGTTACCATGCAGATGTCTCCAAACTTGGCAACTTTAAGACTAGTGGATTTCAACTCCCAGAATTCCCTAGAGCAGAGGTGTCCAAACTTGGTAACTTTAACATGTGTGGACTTCCAACTCCCAGAATTCCTCAGCCAACTGGGAATTGAAGTCCACAAGTTTGGAGACCTCTGCCCTAGAGCAGTGATGCCTAACCTTTTGGGGCTCATGTGCCAAAAATTGTGTGCGCGCTTGCACGCTCGTGCTCATGTGCCAGTACCCAGAAGGCAATGCGCGCCCCCCACACCTCCTATGCATGCGCATGTAATCCCTACCCACCCTGCCGCCCACTTACTTGCATTGCGCCTCACAGCTGATTTTCGGCTGGTTTGAGGCCTTTTTTGGCCTCCCAGGGACTTGAGGAAGGCTTCTGCAGGTTTTTCAGGCCGAAAACTAGGCCCGTTTCGTCACTTCCAGTATTTCCAGAAAAACAGGAAGTGACAAAACGGGCCTAGTTTTTTGGCCTGAAAAACATACAGAAGCCTTCCTCAAGCCTCTGGGAGGCCAAAAAAGGTCTCAAACTGTTTGTCACCTCAAGCTGCTCTCAAACCCTGTCGCTTCCTAGTCTCCCCCTCCATTTTGGGGAGGCCAAAAGTGGCCCTTGAATGCTGGGCAGAGGGGTGAGCCCGTGTCCCTGTTTTCTTCCCAAACAGGATGCAGCTCATCATGCAGGCGGAGGCGGAGGCAGAAGCCATCCGGGTGAGCCCTTTCTTCTTCTCTACCTCATGGGAACGAAGAGGAGGCAGAGGTGGATGAGAACTTAGCTTATCCTGAAATCCTGTTTTCGTTTTTTAGGTGAAGGGCGAGGCTCAGGCGTACGCAGTTGAGGCCAAAGCCCGGGCTGACGCTGAGCAGATGTCAAAGAAGGCAGAAGCTTTTAAGCAGTATCAAGAGGTTGCCATGGTGGACATGCTTTTGGAGAAGCTTCCAGAGGTAAGCACGTCCTCCTCGTGTAATCCCAAGGAGAAAAAAAGGAAGATGAAGTCCCAAAGGTGGTTTTTTTCAGGAGGCAATCGGACTTGCTTGTTTTTTCTTCTTTTGAAGACATTTCGCTTCTCCCCCAAGAAGCTTCTTCAGCTCTGACAGGATGGTGTGGAATGGAAGGATTTATATTCCTTGCAGACAGCTGGTCATTTGCATCCTTTGAGACCGTCACTGAAGCGCTTGAAGTTTTATCTAAGTTGT